TGTTATAGTATTTAATACTTCTCTCTAGAGTGATTCAAGTAAGGTAAAATAACTAATCATACTCCTCATCATATCCTTAAGTATTCTGTTTTACCTTTCAGTAACATCATTCATACTAGGAGAACCTGACATGGTGTATTGTGGGACGATACTAAATTCCTCTAAGAATCGAGCAAATTGCCCTAGACACTGTTAACCTGATCCATAAGGTTTACCATAGTTTTCACCATCACAATTAGATCTAATAGGCTTAATCATTTTGTTGAATTGATTCTCAACTTCTCTTTAAACTCTTGAACACATTTAAGGACTGAGACTTTTCATGAATAAGATATAGGTAGCCATATTTGAAATAATTATCTATAAACGTTATGAAATATTGTTGACCATTTCAAGAAGCCGTAGGGAACTGTCCATAAATATCTGTATGAATGAGCTCTAATACGTTTATAGTCATGTTGGCACCTAATTTCTTAATGTTTGTATGTTTTCTATTGAAACAATGGACACATATGTCAAAATCTGTAAAATCAAAGGGATCTAGAATTTTATCTTATATAATTTTCCTTTGGGAGATATGACATAATCTCTCATACTATATTGAAGTGGAATTCTCCTTGGTTAATTTCTTTTACACCTTTTGACCTGACATGCAATTATTCATTATAAAAAGCAATTATATCAAGCAAATAAAGATTATTATGCATTAATAAATAATCAAACCAACTAGATTTCAATTAAAAAAAAGATTAAAATTTTCATTTCTAAATGAACATAAATAACCAAATTTGTCCAATGCAGAAACAAAAATCACATTTCGTCTAAATGACAGTTTAATAAAAGTATCTTCTAAATCTAAATAAAACTCAGTCCTTAACAACAATCTAAACTTACTAGTTGCTTCTACCTTGACTGGTTTGTCATCGCTTACATAAATGAATATGACATCATCACTTGACTTATGGCAATGAAGGCAACCCTGCATAGACATACTGATGTGAGTTGTGGTACCATAATCTATCCATCAAGTGTGTGTAGGTACAGAAGTTAAATTAACATCAGAATAAACAAAATTAAGAAACATATATTTCTTTGTGTGTCACGCATGTAGTTAGCACATTGCTTCTTCTGGTGTCCCGAAGCTTTACAGAAGAAACAAACGTTTTCGGTCTGAACTTTCTGTTGTTTCTTCTGTTATACTCGAACCACAATAGATTTATCCGTTTTTTTTATTTTATTCTTATCCTCTGAGATCACAGCAAAATGAGCATTCTCTATCCTCTCATACTTGAGTCTTACCTCCTCTTGAGCACAATGAGAAATAAGCTCTGTCAGATTCTAAGTTTCTTTCTGACAATTGTATGTCACATTCAAATGATTAAACTGTGGTGGAAGGAAAATCAAAACATAATATACAAGTACTTCTTCTTAAAATTCCACTATAATTGCTTAGAGCATTGCATGCATATGTGACATCTTCATTACATATTCTCTAATGTTTACAGTTCCTTTATACCTCACGAAAGCAAGAGACGATAGAAGTATATACATCTCTGCCTTATCATTTCTGGTGAAATGTTGTTCTAGAGAATGAAGAAAATTTCTAACTGTTGTGATCTCATCGGACATAGTGCCCCGAAGAACCTCTAGAATAACCCGTTCTATAACCAACATACTCATTTAGTTTGACCGATCTAATCTTTAAACTCTTTCTTTTCCTCAAAGGTACTGTCAGGAGTAATCGGATCGGGTGGATCAACACGTAAAGCACAATCCAAATCCATAACTTCGAGCACAAGTTGAACACTATTCTTCCATTACTTGAAGTTTGTGTCGTTCAACATTGGGATAAAATTAACATTCACAGATATAATTCCAGTAGAAAAGGAAGCTGAACAGAGAACATACAATAGTAAATTAATTAATACTCGCATAAAATTATAAATTATAAAATTTAATAATGAATTTTAAATAAATGTATATTCTCATTTTAAGATACCGAATACTGTATTAATACTCTATCTTTGGATAAAATATTAACTTGTAAGTGATACCCTATAATAATAACTAAATATAGAGAGTAAAAAATATCAAATAATAAACTTTCATTTGAGCCAATTTAAATGTCACATGTTATAGTAAATAACTGTCATGCATTCATTACTACAAAAATAGAATGCAATAATGTTAAATATTAATATTCTTTTGTGTCAATTAATATTCACATAAATTACACTCATACAATTGGTTACATTATGATATAAATAAATTATACACAAAAGATGTCACTTTGATGACATGTTGTATAAATTAATTTATTTCAATATGTATATGCACATACCAATCTTAAAATTCAAAATTAAAACCAAATTGAAACTGAATTAGGAAGAAAATTAACTACAAAATGACCAAAAATACTTTTAAAAAATTCTATTTTTTTGTCAAAAGCTTGACTGTTGACCGATTAAAGTCAACATTGATCGTTGACCATTGACCGATCAACCATTGATCGAGTTAGGTCAACATCCGGTCGGATCCTGGACCAGGTTGGTTTGATCTGGGTCGGCCCAGCCTATACCCATATGAACTTTGGCCTAGCCGAATCGACCTCTTTTTTTTTTCCCCTTTCTTTCTTGTTTTCTTTTGTTTTTTCCCGTCTTGTAGACTAAGCCTGCATAATTTAAATTTAAAAAACACAGAAGAAAACCCAATAAACCCATAACTTAATTTTTTTCTCTTTTTCCTTCTTCTTCTTCATGCCCAAATGGGCTTTTGAGATGCTACAGTAACAGCTGAAAAAACCAGGCGTTACGCGCAAGCTTCGACAACCATTTCAGCTGTCGAACGATCGCGTGACCATCGTGCTTTTTTGTTCATGCAGCGACGGCCGACCACTATTTTTTTTTTGTTTTCTGCTTCATATATATACATATATATATATATCCTAAACTCATATATATATATATATACACACATATTTTCTACTTTAGTTTTTTTGAAATCCATATATATATATTTTTATTTTTTGATTTAAAAATACATATATATATTTTCTGGATCCTAAATATATATTTCTAATCCTTATATATATAGTTCTCAAAATCTAAATTTATAAAAAAAAAAATTGAATCTAAAAAATTAAATACGAGAAATACCCTATTAGTAATTGTTGGAATAAAAATATTTTTCAAATAAATAGATCTGTAAATCTAAACATATAATCTCGTACTGAATCAATAAGAAATGTAAACGGAAGCGTACCTAGATCCATCATAGAAGAATTGTTTGCATCTGACAGTAAAATCTTCCAAATCAATCCGATACATCAAAAAATTAGTTTTTTCTAGTGACAAAATTTAAAAAAAATAAAATGACAATCTTGTCGGGAACCAAAACTGCCTTTTATATTTATAAATTTTTGTAATTCTTATTTTGCTTATTATAAAATGAGAATATTATAAAAATAGTATCTACACATTACAAATTTATAGTTAAGTTCGATACATTAAGACCCAATATTGTTTAAGCATATTTGATCACTTTTAAACGAATCAATTAAATTGATAGTCTGATACACATATCAAAATGCATATTAAGCTCACATGTCAGGAAAAATCCAAGAGTCTAATACTTCGTCCTTATTGTTTATGTTGAAGGTTGCATATTAAGAGAGTTAAAACATAAAAATACTACTAGAATTGATACTATAACAAAAGGATCCTATTAGTGACCTTGAGAAAGATAGAAAAGTCAATCTAAGTAAGTTATAAGCTCGACATGAGCTCTAATTAGTCGTTGAGTTACATGCTTGTGAGTTTATATTGTCATGCTTATAAAATATTTTTTTAAGCATGCACAAACTTCATTAAAGTGACACCAAATTCTGTTAATTAAATAATTATAATAATGAAAATTTATTTTTATTGCAAAATTTAATCATTTTAATATCTATAGTTAATTTAATAGTATACTTAATTCAACATAATATCATATTTTATATTGAATTTTTTTTAAAAAATAAAAAACTCTTTTGACACCGGCAATCCTTGTAAACCACATTGCTAGACTAGGCGGAGAATCTATCCAGAATGGGGACAAATCACAGCACTTCGCCAATTAAACGAATAGAAATCTGCCACGCGTAATGCCCAGGTAGGCTTTGTCTCACCTGATTAGCACCGTTTGCAAAGGTAGGAAATTAAAATTAAATGAAATTTAATTATTTTCTAGGAAATTGCTATTGAATTTCGTCGATAAGATTCTGGCTTCGGGATTGTGGGTTTACACCGTCAAATTCAATAATATGAAGAGCTCATGAAGAGATAATAACTTTGAAGCCCTTGAATTTTCTAGAAACCAGAGTTCTCCGTTTACCTCCCATCAGTTTTTTCGCAGAAGAGGAAAAGGAAGCAACAAAATGAAGAGAGTATTTGGTGTTAAGAAAGAGAAGGAACCTCCTCCGTCCATTCAGGACGCTTCCGATCAGGTTTCTGCTACACTCTTCTTCTTTTTTTTTTTTTTTAATTTTGTTTATAAATCTGTGCATATGCATCTCTAGAATATTTTCTTCTCTGTTTATTGCTTTAATTATTCTGTTCACTCACTCGATTTTACTTTTTTTTTTTTTGTTTCAGCCCGTTTTCTATACCTTTGCTTTAGGTTACCGAGAATTGTGGTGATCTATTAGAAACATAATCAATTTTGTTACGTTTAATTGGTAAACAAACTTTAGGGCATCTTAGGATTTGGGTTTTACGATTATGGCCTTTGAGATTTGGGTTAACTGTGGCTTTTGATTTAGTTTTGATGATAATTGGTACTTCTAATTGTAGTTAGTGATAATGTCTGATGGAGGTGAACTTTAAAGGTTTCCAACATACGGGATGATGTTATCCTTTTCTTTTAGCTGCATTCTTTTGCATATTTTTGTGAATGTATTGATTAGCTGATGTTTTTATTACAGATTAACAAACGAGGGGATACAGTGGAAGATAAGATTAAAAAGTTAGATGCTGAACTTACTAGATACAGAGAACAAATAAAAAAAACAAGACCTGGTCCTGCTCAGGAGGCTATTAAAGCTCGGGCCATGAGGGTTCTAAAGCAGAAAAGGATGTGAGTGTGCTTGATTTACATAAATTCCCATTTATGTATGTTTAGGTTTGATTAATTTTTCTGGGATGCTAGCTGTTTACTTTCTTAAATTGATCTTGTTCTGTAAACAATATCCATGCAAGGAATACTCATATTATATCTTGTTTTTTGTTATACTTCCATCTTAGTATTGGAACAAGATTTCTAGAGATTAGTTCATGGAAGGGGTATCAATTCTATAGAATTAGATGAAGTGAAAAACAGTTCAAAGTGCTAGTGTTTTAAGAGAAGAGAAACGCATTTACAACTTTCAGATGAAAGATGCTCTAATAAAAGACTTAAAGATGTGACAATGACCTTCTCCAACTTGTAAATCTCAGGTTTTTGAAATTTGGAAAAGCTTCTGTTTTAGAGGATAGCTTGATAGTTATGGGCTTTGACCTTTGTGACTTGCTTTTGTCTTGTTGTGGATCAGAATGTTTGATTGGTGAGACTAGCGATTCTGGACTGTGTTCTGATATTTTTTACATGTGATATTATAATTAGCTTGAATTGCTTTGGAAATGCTTAGAAAGGCAATTTGTGCTATTGCAAGGCTAAATTGTAGAATGCACATTTTTTTGTGCCAATTTATTCTGGAAGTTCGTGCTTTTTGCTTCCCTTCACAATCCGCTTAATGCTGATGCTGAACTCTCATCAGGCACCTCTTTACTTCTCATCCATGATCCCACTACACTACAGTCACCAGCACATGCTCTCAAAATCTGTTGTAGTCATCATCTTGGTATTGTTGTACTTGCTAAAACACAAAAGATCCTCGCCAAAACCCTTACAAATTTTACATTTCTTGATATTTAATCTTTGCTTTTAAGTTGCTCACTTTGTTTCCATTCAATATAGAAGCCACTTGTATTTGTGTTAAAATAATATTTCACCCATACACCCTGTAAATCTATGTTTCTTTTTGTTTGGAATCTTTCAGTGAGCCACATGTGAAAAATTGAGACTATAGCCAACAACGCAGCCATAGCTCTGCCAAATCGTAATTATCTTATAAGAGCAAAAAATGTCCTCTCCTAAATCATACTTACTTATGTTATCCTTTAATGTATAGTAATTGCTTTTGGTTCCTCATTTTGCTTCCAGTTTTCTTTCTTCTTTCTTTTCAAAATCGTATCAGCTTTTAGTTTCTTCTCTCTTTTCCCTTGCTCCTTATCTTTATTAAAAAAAAGCTACTGTTCAGCATTTTTGAAGATTCACTAAAAACCCGAATACAAGCAAGAATCCAGGATATACAAATTACAAGCTCTTAAAGGAAAGAAGATCAAAGAGATCCAACATATCCACACCATCAGAGATGGAGTGACCTTTAAGCAAAATATTCTAAACCAATGATATCTGATCTCCTGAAAGAGGGACGATGAGTTGTCATCACCAAGGGGTTGATCACACCCCAATTCGTTTAGATTTTAGACAGCTTGGAAACAAAGAAGACTAGCTCTTAGATGCAGGACATATTCTCTATTCGGCTTGAGGAACAAAAGAGAGTTACCTGCAAGCAACATAGGAAATTCCAATAAATCTCGCCCCCAACCAGTAGGCTAGCTCTCCAACAATTGTCTTCTGTCGCTTTAGAGGTCATGCGATTAAAAGCTTCTATGATGAAAATAATAGTAGAGGAGATATGGTCACCCTCCCCAAGACCTTGAAAGCGGAAAAGAAATCTGAAGGACCCTATTAAAATAGCAGCAAGAATGACAACAATATTTTTTTTTAAAATAAAAGCAAGAATAGCAACTATAATATTATTGTACCCTAATTTTCCTTATCAGTACCCATCCAAGTAGATGAGTTTCCTTCTCAACTTCATAGTTTAACTTCCTTAGGCAGGTAAATATGCCACCGTGTAATTTAAATTCAAAATTGAACCGAACGGGTATAAAGGATTACCAACCCATATTACTAGGATTACTTGCTGCTTCTTTAGACCAGGCATGCCATTAGATTTCAGTGCAATAATCTAGTTCAGCAAATTTGAATGGAGCTTGAACTTCACTAAGATTTAAGTGCTCTGCTTGAGATGGCAGAATTATTTCCAACCCAAGCTACAACAAAATGTTCACATAATTGGCTGACTTGATTTCTTTTCGATTATTATCATTTCCAACAACAGCTGGTGTAAACATTAAGTCCTGTTAGTTTGAACTACCTTCAATACAACTCTGCTGCTAGTACTCATAACTATGCTCTAGGAATACGGGATTTCTGATTATAAACCCTTATGTTTTTGGTTTGACAGCCATGCGCTTAGTTGTGGAAGATTTAGGGGACATCAGAAACACCTTGAGGAACTTGTAAACTTTATATTATATTTTCTTTTATATTCAGGCTGCACCTCCTTGGTTATAGGACCAAAAAATGCATTTCAATCTTTGGTGGGAAATTAGAGGTTTGAAAAAGTTTCGTTCAGTCCAGTCTGGTCAGTTTCTAGACAGATGAATACCCCTACCTTTGGTGCTCTTTAATGAATCTTTCTTTTTCTTCCAAAAGAAGAAAAGTTCTAGCATTATCCTATTGAAAAGAAATCTTTTTAAGTTTCATGGTTTATACAAATTACTAAGCTCTTATACAGGTATGAAGGACAACGTGACATGCTTTACAATCAGACATTCAACCTGGATCAAGTTGCATTTGCTGCTGAAGGCCTTAAAGATGCTCAGCAAACTGTAAGTCCCTTAGTGTTTATGTTCCTTTGTTATAATCATGTGTACTCTGGCAAAGAAGAAATCTCCTTTTTCATTTGTTTGATCATAATCACTCAAAATTTAGCTTGGATAATTACATAATCTAAGACTTTAATATGCTTTTGAGTTGCTTTTGAAGTAGTTTTAGATGAATCCAGCTTTCTTCTAGGCTGGGCTTAGCTTTC